CCGTGAAATTCTCTATCGAATGAAATATAACGTAGAGTGATTAACACACTTTTTAGTTCATGTCTAACGTCAAGACCGTTTTCACACAGTTCTGAAGAATGATGATGGCATGTGGGTACTAAAATGAGAGTGGAAAGCTCGATAAGATTATAAAACTACTCAGTTTCATTCGCTGAACACGAATATATTGTTTTGCTTACAAAATAAAATACATAGAGGGAGAAAAATGCATTATTTCGAACATAAGCCAGTTTTTGCCTCACGTTGTTGATTCACTAGATATTTTGCCTAAACTTTTTTTTGGTCGAATGATAACTCATTCAACGCGTCATCAATTAAAGAGAGAACAGTTGGTGAAAAAATCTCGACGCAGATGCAAAACTAGGCTATTACTTAACCAGAAATACTAGTTTTTCGGTGTATGCACTTTTTCGAAGTTTTGACCCTAGAAAAGCGACATTAAATCGGAATGATCCTCGCCTTTCAGCACTGAATCTCTATTTGATCCTCCATCAAACAAAATATCAACCGGCTCTGTAGCCCTTTTCATGACAAACTTACAGCGATAATACTGAAAAGTACGAAAATGATCACTTTTAATGGGTCCCAAAGTTCAGACGTGCGGCGCTCTGTACCGAAGGGTTTTCAAAAAGAATTTTTAATAGTTTTCTGACCAATGCGTATACGCTCTTTCAGAATCCGTGACCAAAAACGAATTTTGAAATTCAGGAGGTGGGGGGCATTTTTGTTATATTCATGGATTCTCCCTTAAGTTTACCAAAAAAGTTTTTGAATTACATAATTAAAACGAGCACAAAATTTGAACAAAATGAGGTACTGCCCATTATTTTAGCAATTACTTCCAAAAGGTGAGAAAACAACAGACGTTCAAGCAAAACTGGTTTACGATACGACTGTTAAATCATAGTTTAGAAAAAAATCGGTTTATATGGTCCATGTACGTAAAGAAGAAGAATTGAAATATAATAACAAAGATTCGCTCTCGACAGTTCCCGAAGTATACCTTCAAAATAACTATTTTTGATATTCTTGGAACGTGCTTTGTCACAAGAGAAACGGAGAGACATTATCGGCCCTTACCGATTATCCTAGTTATCGCGTCTGAATGTCGACATATGCACCCCATTAAAATGTGCTACCGAACCATGTGAAAACGGTTTTGACGTTAGACATGAATTAAAAAGTTAACCACTCTACGTTATATATCATCTATATATATAAAGAAGAAAGTTTGTTTGTATGTTTATTCTCTATGCATTCAGTCCCTGTAAGAGCTAAAGCAGCCAAAGTTTGCATGGCACACCCTTGGGTCCAGAGGAAGGTCAAGACGGGGTCGGCGAGACCGAAGGAAGGGTGGGGGGAGAGTTCCCACCCAGTTTTCGAAAAATGGTTGAAAGATTTTCGGATTTTTATGTTCTCCGATTTCTGAGGTACTTGCATCTTGCTTTTATATCTTCGCACTGCCCTTGGTCAAGGGCTACTTTTCAATACAAAACTTTTTTCTCTGGGATATTTAGTAATCCGATCGTTGGACCGCTACAGTGAGTCTCATCGGAGAAGTTCGAAGTGGAATTATTTTCTCGATAACTCAGCGGGGGTGTTTCGAAGGTGAAATCTCTTTCGATGAGGTACAAAAGCAATGGCAAAAATTCAGGCTTAAAAAGTCATCAGATTCAGTCAGTACATCAGCTTTTTTACTAAAAAAACTTCCACCAGAATATTTAAACATAATTACAATTTTATTTAATAAATGCGCTTAAAAAGGAGGTTTTTTTTGAAGGAGCAAAGCATGCAAAAGTAGTTTGTTTATCAAAAGGAGATCTATATCCGCAGGAAAATCGACTCCGCCCTATCTCTCTGCTTCCCAATATTGGAAAATGGTTTGAAAGGATTGTTCATCAACGTATTTTAAATTGGTGTTACGAAAAGGGTATCTATGTTGATGAACAATCAGGTTTTACACCCGGAAGGAGGCTGCAAACACGGATATTATCTTTATGCGAAGATTTAAGACTAACAATTGCTGCTAGTAATCGTCCAGCATTAATAATCTTCGTGGACTTTATGACTGCCTTTGATCGGATGTGGTTTCCAGCTCTGATAAGTAATTTATTAGAACTGGAAATACCGCTGGAACGGGTCCGGTGGATTTATCTGTGGCTGCAGAATAGATCTCTCTCAATCTGCCACGGTGAAGCCAGCTCAAGAGTAATAAAACTTTTTGTGGGAACTTCTCAAGGTTCAGTACTTGCTGCTACATTATTCCGCCTTCACATCCATTTTCTTCCTAAATATTTCATGCAACTAGTTACAAATTTATTTGCGGACGATCTGGCCCTTGTTTTTTTCGGATCATTGGAGAAGCGTTTTTCTGTGAATATTGAGGAATTATAACAACGGGCTAGGATAGCGCTTGGTTCATTAGCTAAATTCGCGGATGATATCATTCTACCGGTTAATGTATCAAAAACAAAGGCAATGCGCATCCACAGTGTAGTTGCTCCTCAATATCCATACTTAGAATACAAAGGAATTAAAATTGACTTTGTAAAAATTTTCAGATATCTGGGTGTTGAGATATGTTCAAAATTAGGATGGGAAGTTTTCATTCAAAATCGTTTAAAAATAATCGTAGAGATTGTTCGTTAAGAGATTATATTTTTAAGTACTGGAAAAGATTTACTAAACATCTAGCGAAAGCCCCAGAAGCAACCCAATATCAACACACACGGTGTGCTTTTCTGACGGTAACGTCTCACCAAAAGGAATGGTATAAAAATCTCGATTTTAGAAAAAATAGCAAATTTTTAAACCGTATGCGTATAAATGCAAGGCATAGTCACACAGACTGGATAATTTTCGAGAATATCCAAAGCAAACAATATGGATACTTTAGAAGAAATACACAGATGCTAGAGTTTTTTGCGTATAAATATTTTCTTCAACCCCCGCAAACCTCCCGATGCTCAATAAGATAGTTAAGATAGCTAGAGAATTTTAACACGGTCTGGTTATGTATTATCACTAGTAAAGTTAATCTTTTCCTTTTCTTTGTTGTTTTTTTTTAAACTGTGGATTATAAAATCGAGCTGTTTTATTTTTCACACGATTGTTAACCCTTTTGGAACAAATAAACTTATTACCAATGTTAAAAAAAAAAGATAGAACAAAATTTATTCTAAGTTTAGTTTCTTTTAAATAAACGCCTGAAAGTTTAAATCAAGCAGAAACAGTGATAAACTCAAATTTTTACATGGAATTATCATCTGTACCATTTTTAATATTTTCCTTTATCAAAGACAATTGCTCATACAGCCATCAAGATTATAACAAAAGGTTCTGACTTTTCGTTCTCATTCTATTTCTTTGGACCTATTGAATAAAAAATGTCATAGAACCTTTTGTTATAATCTTGATGGCTGTATGAGCAATTGTCTTTGATAAAGGAAAATATTAAAAATGGTACAGATGATAATTCTATGTAAAAATTTGAGTTTATCACTGTTTCTGCTTGATTTAAACTTCCAGGCGTTTATTTAAAAGAAACTAAACTTAGAATAAATTTTGTTCTATCTGTTATTCGATGGTCGAATGTATTGCCTATATAAAAGAAAAAAACAGATAAAATGTGCGCATGGAAAGGAGAAAAGAGAGAAGAAAAAAAGTGACAGAACAGAAAAACAGCCTAAATTCACTATAAAAAATCGTAGAGGCTGTGACGACACATGAAAAACTCAAGATGTAATTATAAGAAGCCCGGTGTCGGATTCGCCTTGAAATTCTGCATATACCACCTTAGTTTCATAAAGTTTGGTCCGACGCGGAACTTGCACCTAATTTTCTAATGCTTTTTCATTTTTTGCGAGAGAGTTATTTTATTATTATTTTCACTGACGTGAAAATCAAAAAAAAGTATCCATGGGCATGAGCATGTGTTCTAAAACTGTTTCGATGAGCGGGGGCATGGCTCTTTTTTTGAGGAAACATACGTAATCGGCCATACTGAATCTAGTGCTAATGCTTGATTTCGAAGAACACATCAAAAACCTGGTAGCAATCGAGTTTTACGAACAATTAGGGTTTCGAGGCTAATTTAAAAATGTACTCAAAAACATAAGAACGAGTTGAAAACTTCATGATGTAAAGTGTTCAAGCTATTCTGTATCTCATTTACAAAACCCCAGGGTTTTTCGAAAAGGCCTTTTTAAAAATCCTCTGAGCAAACACCGTTTTCGATTTATTTCGAGAAACAAGTGGCGATGGGATATCCTATCTTCATAAATCCAGTTTCATAAATCACACATTTATGAAACTTGTTTCCAACTTAAAATTTAGAAAACTTGGATGTTGCGTTTATTAACCCCGAAGTTACATAAAAATGAAAAATTTTACGAAAGTTTAAATTTTATGAAGTTAAAAGGTTTAATATGGCTCTCAGGGAAATATTTTGTTAATTAATTAGCATATATTTGTTGAAGACCTATTGTTGTTAATCAAATTGGTTTAATTGATCAATTAAGGTAACTGCATATGTCTCTGAGAGACTCCCATCTCACTTTGAGACTTGTATCTTTTAGAATAAAATTGCATATTATTATTCGAATCAGTCTATGCTTAAGTAACTCATACCTATCTTAGTGAGATATTATTATATAATGTTATATGTTTCTATATGACATATTAATACTACAATTAATTAAGGAATTAATTAACTGAACCTAGAACAACATAAATCACATATTTATGAATTTATGAAACTTGTTTTGTGTTTCATAAAATTTATGAAATTTGGATGTTGAGTTTATTAACCTAGAAGTTACAAAAAAATTAAAAATTTTATGAAACTTTCTAGAAGTTTCATAAATGTGTGATTTATGAAACTGGATTTATTAAGACCGGATAATCCGTGTCGATTACTCCGTGAACAATTAGTACAGTAATAAATTTCAAGTTGGTGTCCGTTTCTAGAGTTGCATATTATGTCATTTCTGACAAATCAAATTTTATTTCCGGCTCCAACGCCACCAAATTATTCGTTGACATCACACCCTGCTCATCTGATCTGGATACCACAAAGCGACAGTACTCCCTCTATACCATGTTTATATTACCCATCATCCAGTCCAGCGGCCTCGGTGTTCCTTATATGGACTCATGGAAACGGTTGTGATATTGGGAGTATGCATGAAACACTCGTCTACTACAGTAAACGACTGAATATACACTTATTGGCTTATGAATATCCATCATATGGGCTCTGTCAAGGATCACTCTCTGAATCATCGATTGATGCACACACACGTCAAGCCTATCTGTTTGTTAAAGATGTTATTGGATGGCCACAAGAGCGAATTTTATTCTATGGACATAGCGTTGGAAGTGGAACTGCGTGTCAAATAGTAAGTTAATAGAGTTAAGTGTAGGGATTACTGCTAGTACCAACTAGGCATGCACCAAGACGAAAAGTCTCGAGTCTCTAAAAGCTTCGGTACACGAACTTTAGTCTCGATATGACTGAGATTTTTTTTTTTTTGGATTATGCGAAGGTTTATTGACCACGCTCTGGAGCGCTTGCAAAAATAAGAGAATATACAAAGAACAATTATAAAAAAGGAATAAGACCGAGCAAACACACAGCGACAGACCCTCTAAGTCACGGACAAAAGGCTGAGTATACAGAACACGGGAAAAAGAGGAACAACAAAAAAAAAATAATAATAAAACCCGTAAATGTTTCTTACTTCTGTTTTAACAAACAAACTCCAACCATTTAACGAAGGAAGATTCGCGCTTACGTATCATTTTTTTAACCCTTTTCATACAGAAGAAGTGACCACACTTAGAGGATCTCTCATTAAGGTTTTCCCAAAAGAATAAAACGTTAAAAAAGAAGGATGAACCCAAATCTGTTTCATATAACTTTGCCAACCTTTTAGAGATATACTTTTTTATATAATGAACCAGGGTAGGTTCTTTTATGACTTTAAAAATATCCTCAGCCTTTATAAAATGACATCTGTAGATAATACGAAGACCCACTCGGTATTTTCTAAGGAATAATTCTTGTTGCGTTAGTG